GAGAAGGAGGAAGAATACAAAGCAGACAAAGAGTATGCGGAAAAGTAGCTTCTACTGAAACCACCTTCAAGGAGTATCGTGTCGAGTTGATGGATTTTGACCACGATTGCTGATTGACTTTCAGCAAGTGCACAATTCTTAGTGATCACTAGGTAGAAGGTAAGAAGAATACTATGATGAAGCGGTTCAAGTACCTTTTTGCCACTTAGTCGATCAGCTACTAGCAAAATGTACTGCTTCAGTAATAAAGGGTCACTGCAAAGGGTTCTCGTGCTACCCGAAGATCGATGTCACGTGGATGCAAAGAATACGGTATGCAAGCCACACGGGTTAGTAAACATCGAGCCTGTAATAAAGCATGTTGTGGCGCAAACGCAACACCCAACATGATTCTCCGTGTCCAGGAAGTCCAGGCGGTAAGGAAGGGGGTAGTTCGAACGACTGTCCTCCTGCATCCAACTCCCCTTGCCTTCCTCCGCCTCCTTCTCCTCCTCCTCTGCCATCAGACGAAGCTGAGCTTACACCTCAACTCCCCAAGGAACGCCCAGACATGGAGCACTTCCAACTCCTCAAGTGGAATGCTTGTGCTTTTTGGTCGTGGGATGTTATGCACGACACCTGTGTCATCTGTCGCAATGCTATGATGAGTCTCTGTGAGTTGCATACCACCTCTTTTGATTTTCATGTAATATCATAGAAACGGCCATTTGTTTGGAGTTTTTATTTAACATTCAAGCCTGAAACAGAGTCAGAGGAGGGTCAAACTTCACTGTTATCTGTTATCTTCAAGATTGATCACACTGTGATCGTCCTTTGGGAAGAAAATTAGCTGGCGCATCAGATAGTCCATAAAACGTTTGGAAGTGGTAGTAAACGACCTGTTCGTTTCTCATAAAAGCATAAGATTATTTATATCAGTTCGCGGGGTGTTTCAGAGAGTACGACGTATCAACTAATACAAATTCGAAGAAGCCTCTTTCAGGGCGTTTTACGTCCAACCATTTAGTGGGGAAGTATTCAAAACTGACTGATTACTTGCATATACTCTCCCGGCTCTCCCTCCCCTCCTCCCTTGACGGTGTCAAAATTTCGCGTTGCTAGCACATAAATTAAATAAATAAGCGGCTTGCTATAAGTGAATATTGTCGAAGATAATTTTTTATATGTTCAGAATTTCAATTTGTTTATTAACAATTATACGTATGCATAAAGGTGAAATAGCGTTAATTTTATCCCAGAGGACTAATCTAGCCTTTAGTGTAGTGACTCCTAAGAAATGTGCACTTGCAGAAAATTAGTCATCAATTGTGCATAAGATCCATCAACCCGTTATGATGCTACTTAAGAATGATCTCAGTAGAAGCTTCATTCTCCTCCTCTTGCATTTCAAATTATTTATCTTCTTCCTCCTCACAAACAGTCAGCACTACTGAATCAGACAGAAAGAGGCGACACTCTGATTCTTTCACTACAACACAATATCTCAGAAGTCATCTCAGTGAAATAAAATGACCTGTGAAAGGATTCACACCCTAGAAGGATAAACTGCAGTTTTGGAGGATGGGGATGGGAATTGGGTATAATGGAAACTGCTTCATCGTCACCTTCATCTTCATCACCGTCCTCACTCCTCAAATCAAACTAAACCGTGTCCTCCTTAGTTCCCTGATGATCCATATCATCTCCATTTCATCCTCATGCCACACCTGTCATCATTATCGTACCACTTGACAATCACATAATTACACACGAAAGTGGAGTGGGCAGACAATTTGGGAAGGAGGAGTGAGCTGACAGAATTGGAAGTGGACATGGGTGAATGGACTTCATGACTTGCAGAGACACGGCACTGTGTGGAAGTGGGAATGGCAAGTTCGCGTCATGTCGAGTGTACATTGCAGACCGTGGAATGCAGTGAATATTTGCTGGCATTCCTTGTGGTCTGTGCGTAGTCTTCCAGAGCCATCGCATGATTGTTGACACGAGGATTGCAGTAGTGCATTCGATGGTCACCCAGTGTGTGTATGGCGTCGGTCGATCCATTCTCCTCTCACCTCGAGTTTTCCTGCTCTCCTTTTCCATTCCATTTCACCTTATTTTATGCTGCACTATACTGTGCGACATTACTGGAAGAAGCGTTGTCATTGTGTCCTTTGTAGGTATCCACTGTCAGGCGAAGATAGGAACCAACCCGTTGGACGAAATATGCGCCGTGGCATGGGGAGTGTGCAACGTGAGTCCGCCCTCATATCCACACGACTTCATAACTGCCTGCACCCTCCCTCACATGCACACAGTGTTGTCGTGTTGAAATGTCAAATTGTGACGCCTGTCAGTGACATGAGGTGCGCAGCATATGAATGGGCGCTTGGCAATGTCAGATGGGTTAGCGAGGTGTGCTGCAGTCCGAATAAAAGACCGCGAGTTTGAGAAGCAGCATCGACCAATCAATCAATCAGACAATGAATCAACTAGTCTGACGTGTTGGATGGAAGTGGCTTGTGTCGAGTGTGAATGGCACCAGTGGATTGGCGCGGACATCCGCCTTCGAAAATACAGTGGTGGGGGGAGGGATGTGTGGGAGGTGATAGTTGATAGGTGGTATCAGATCGCTGCCCAACTGGTGCCCGTCGCAGGTCCTCTTTTCAACAATCGCCTTTCACTTGACTGCATAATTTCCCAACGGCAGGATGTCGTTAGTGGAAGGCTTATTTGTGAAAGATGTTTGCATTAGTTTGAGAAGTATGAAAGTACCGAAGGAACCTGTCTCGTCCTATCTTATCACGTCCCTCCCACCCCATCCTACTGCATAACATCACCTCCCATGTAACCTTTCCGCTCATTCATCTGGTTGAGTGGTTTTAGCGGAGCAAGGAAGTTGGATGTTTTAGTGGACCGCAACACCTGCTTTTGAGTGGTGTGTCCCCATTCCCCAATCGACATGTCTTGGCAGAAATGAGCAAGTTTGGCTGGAGATGCGGTTGAATGAGTTGCCTCATGACATGCTTTCCTTGCTTTGATCAGTCAATCGCACGTGTTCAGTCACAATGTTAGTTAGGTTGGTTGAAGTGTTTGCCGTCTCCTCACATTCTGGGTGACAGTGCAGTGATGGATGGTGTGAGTCATGGGGATTTGTGGCGTGATCTGTGCTTCAAAGGCTGTGTTGAGAGTGAATGACATGCGATTGGAAGTGAGGAGTTGTTTGTGAGTAATGGCGTAGATATCTGGTGATAGATGAGTCAGTGACCGAGGATTAACTGAGGGTGTCCGTTTCCATTGATTTCGGCATTGTTGGGCGATGATGATGATGATGATGATCGCAGTGGAGGTGGGAATGTTGGTGCCGACATTAGTACGCCACGTTATGGAAGTGGGTGCCATTGGGACTGATAGACTAACTTACAAGTCCACTGATGAGAGGCGGCGACACAACCTTGGTTTCCTCCTCCTCCTC